TCATTAAATTTCATGGCTAAGAATTATTCTTATTCTTTAACTGAGCACTATTTTCAACGTAGCGCATCCCTATATATCATGGTTGGGAAAAACCGAATCGAACCCGGCCGGTTCGACCGGAAACTGGTCAGAACACCGGTCCGGTTTGGGATATTAAACAGCTGGGCCCAAAAAACTCATCATGAACCATTTAAAAACTTGAAAATCGGTCGCGGTTCATTCGGTCTGGCTGTTTAAAATATTGGACTTTTTTTTATGACAATACGATTAATTGGTATCTAACAAACAACAATTATGCGCGTGGTGTAGTGGTATGAATTGCTCTTTGTATGTGAAAGGTCTTGTGTTCGATTTTGTGAATTCCCAATAATTCATTTAGTTTTCTCATTTTTGTCTTTGTATACATATGCTTGGATTATGAAATGCACCACTCCAACATGGACTGAAATGACTTTTTGTATTTGTAGTTAATATGTTTGGATTTTGGAATTCACCATTCTAATATGGATTGGAATGGCTTTGACTTTGCAACATGGATTTTGGAATGCACTATTGCAAGTGCTCGAAAAATACACACACACACACACACACACACACACACACACACACACACACACACACATATATATATATATATATATTTACCATGATTAAGGCTTTCGGGTTGGATGGTCGCTTGTTTTGAATAATCCGTCGGCATAGTAATAGACTGCAGTCGTACTCGGTCCTTGGCCGCACGCTAGATATCCAGTAAGGAAATAAGGAAATCCGGCAAGACTGGGCAAGTGCTCCAAGACCAAAATCCACCATAATTAATGTTTTCAAACTGGTGGTCGCTTCTTTCGAACAATCCTAGAGTGGGGTTAGGCAAGTGCTCAACAATCACAAGAGCGAGTTGTGAATACCCCATCATATTAATTAATAATGATTGGCCTCGTTATGGAAAAAGACAACCTAGTGGAGGGACAATTATAAAGGTAACTTGGTATATTTCTTGTGCAGTATTGGTGAAACTAGACAACCTCAGTGGAAGGCTGAGCAAGGTAGTAATCTAGCACAACATTTTGGCAAAAGTTGTTAAAATCCTAGTGGTGGGTTGATTAAATCAATAATTATTTGGACAACTCCTTTATGGGGTCGCGGCTGATAAATAAGGTTATCGAGTTATATTACTTGATACATATCCTCACGATAGAGTGGTATACAATGAAAACCAAATTGGAGAAAATAAGCATAATATCTAAGAAAAATGCAAGTACATATGAGATACACAGAAAACACAAAAAGCAAATTACAAGTCTTAATCATGGCATATTTGATTCAACATCAGCAAGTCGGTTAGTAATGGCCTTAGAGCCAGATTCAACGGGATTGGGCTCGACCGATGAGTTAGGCTCAACAGCGGTTGAGGAAAGATGCTCTAGGACGAAGAAGAATGGTTGCCCAGTATCTTGGCCGGAGACGGAGGTCGAAGGCACAGGATCTTCGAAAGCTCGAAGGCGAGTGGACTCTGTCAAAGCAGTGGACATAGGAACATGAGGGACATCAGCCGCTAGCAGGTCAAAATGCTTCTTCAGATTACTGGAACGAGCCAAGGTCTGCTCGAGGGTGCCTTTCCACCACAGGTATGTGATGGGCAGGGTTGCATCACCCTGAAAGTCCTCGGACACTTTGAGCAACGCTTTTCAAATAACATCGATGCCGAGCTCACCGTCGAACTCTTCATCAGCAGTCTGCTTACTGGCCTCCTCCATACATACCCGGTAATACTCCACGGCCAGGGGGGCGCTATCTTTCAGGAAAATGCCCGACTTTAGGTAATCGACAATTACCTATTCGCGGTACTCTTTCATGAACCTCAGACCGAGGTTGGTTTTCCAAGGTAACTGTCGGGCACGCCCTGTAGCAGCCATCACACTCAGTCATGCTTGTCCTTACGATGAGCCCTTTCTTCTGCGAGCTCACGTTCTTTGGCCCGAATATCATCCTTATAGTGTTGCTTGGCCTTTTTGAGCTCTTGACTGAGCTGCCAGTTCTCATCGGCTAACATTTTCATTCCTTGCTTAAGCTCAGAAATGGATCGACCTGAACCTGACAAGGCGACATCGAGCAAGAGGACCAGATCAACCAAGCCGTGTGTATGGCACAAAGGTGGAAGGTTAATGTACAAGGGGCACAAGTCGAAATTACAGGAAAAAAATGTAAGTTGTAAGCATACCTGCCACAAAGAGCGAATGATGTTCTCACTCAGGGCCTTGAGGTCGGATCCACAGCGGTTGAGGTCGACGACAGAAAGCACTTCCATGAGAAATGAAGCTATCTCCTTCTCGATAGCCACCACCAGAGAAGGAGGAGAAGTGATCGTTTTGGTATCATCCTCAAGACGGGGCTGCTTGTTGCTTTTTTCATATTGAGTTATTGGGCGCTTTCCGAGAGCAGTCTCAAACACTTTTTCGCTCGATGGAGAAGGTTGTCTTTCGACCACTAGGCATGTCGAATAGGGTGGAGTAGAGGAAGCGCCTTGTCCATGCGCCAAGGGGAAAAGTAGTGCCTGCTCCTAGGCCAAAGAAGAAGTAGGCTCATGTTCCTTGACATGAGAGGAGGTCGTGCGGTGCGATGTCTTTTGCTTAGACTGATTTGGAGCAGTCTTCTTGGTCGACTTTCTTTTTTCACTTGAGGCAGTTTTCCTAGTGAGGGACAGTGATGGTCTAGCCATGAAGTCCTCTGAAAAGGAGAAGTAAAAGTTAGCACAATTATAATATTCAACAATGAGTAAGGAGGTCGAAACTACCTGCTCTAACCCTATCGACGATACGAATATCTTGGAGAGTTTGCTCGAAGGGTGGAGGGTATGGTTTATGGGCAAGTATGCCACAATGGTGCAAAATATTGTTATCCTTAAGTAATTCATGAAAGCAATTTTTTTTGAATTCCACAAAGCAATACATCAGTCGAACAAAGGATTCTGAGGTGGACTTTCAAGTTAACAAGGAGTTACCTTGAGCCAAGGAGTCGAGACCCAAGGAAAAGGAACGTCAGGCTGAACATATACAAACTTATGTTTCTATTTGGGAACATTAGAGAGAATATCTAATAAAAAGTGGGCGTTATTCCGACTTTTCAGGTAGAGTCCACCTTCTTGATTTAATGCCACAAACAGTAAAAGAAGAAATCTATGTCGATTCGACCTAGACTGATGAGAGACAGGATAATGAAACTTGTTATATGTCGAAAGTTGGGAGGGATTTCATTCAAAGGCAAATCGAATATCCGCATAGTTCGAGCAATGCAGAGCAGAGAGGGAAGCAAAGGCCTAGCTGGAATTGGCATTGGAAGAAGGTGTAGCAACCCTCAGGAGGTCGATTGTATGTGTCGTTGGCACAGAGGATGTAGAAGGCCTAGACAGAAGGATGGCCAACTTCGTCAAGGTCTAACCAGCTAACCTGTCGAGAACGAGAGCTCGAACATTTGGTTCAACGAAGGAAAGTAGGGTGGTTGGTAGAAACACCGGCTTCTGAGGTTGAAGTAGGTAATGGAATGGTCGGAGCTAAAGGATTAGCATGAAGGACCTCATGGTCCTCCTCCTCTGTTGCGTCGAGTTCGGCGTGTATTCCAAATGGTCGACGAGAGCGACGAACAAACGAGAAAGAAAGGTTATGGGAGGTCGTATTTTCTTGGTGAGATTGAACTGGAATGGTAGGTCGGATAACAGAAATTAGAGTGGTTGGAGAATTTCTTGAACAGAGGAGTTCGGAGAGTCAAATATTGGTTGGGAGGTTGAGGAGGAGGATGGAGGAGTAATATCCTTGCCGGAAAAGCAGTTGTTCTCATTGGAAGTGTCAGAATCTGGAAAAAAGTAAAAAATCAAATAATTAAAGAAGGCGGTTTTAGGGTTTCAGAGGCGGATAATAGGATGAAGGAGAAAAGATTGGCAGCAAAGAGGTTCATGTGGTTGCCGACAGGTTGAAAGGGGTAACGAAAAAGAAATTCAAACAAAAAGTGCAAATTGTAAAATACAAATACTTACTCATCATCGGAGTGCGGAGAAAATTGTACATGTCTTAGAAGCAGTCGAGCAGTTGCATATTAAGCCGGAAAGCACGAAGAGAGCAAAGAACAAGGTCGCCAGATATTAAAAATAAAAAACACAGATATTGCTAAGGAAATTCAGTAGAGGTGGGAAACTGATAATGACGGCTTTCCGAATATTTATAGGCGAAGGAGAAAGATAGTGGAAAGGCCGGTTGATCGAGGATCGTCAGATCAAGGCGAGAATGAACGATGCAGATTAAACCAGATCGAAGTTGAAAAGACAACACGGTATTCAACCGTTGGATTAAAAGGCAGATCCTATGGACAATATTAATAGAGCATTTTAATGGGCACGTTCTACGAGACAACACAGTTCAAGGTGTGATGACAACAACAAGATGGATGACTGGATGCATCTGACAGATTGGCAGGTGGATGGCGAAAGTTCTAGATTTCGAAATGAACATTGGAGGGAAAAAATAAATCAAAAAATTGGAAAAATAAGGCATACATTGCGGCCGAAAAATAAGAAGCAGTGCAGTCGAAAAGTGTAAGAACGGAAGTCTACTCTTGGATTGAGTTATTCAAAATTTGACCAGACTGGGGGGGACTAAATGATATGGGATATCATACCTAAAGGAGCAAACCGGTCGGGTAGACCAAGCAAACTGCTTGGTCGAGCAAAATAAAAACAATATGGTCCGGTCGAACATCCCAAGAATAAGAGCCTTTGATCGGGAAGATCGCCAAAGGGGGATTTTGGTACTGGAGGACAGGTCGAGCTAGGGCCCTTGGATAGCCTGGTCAAAACTCGACCTGTAGTGACAAATGAGACTCTTATGACTGGAACTCAGACTTGGAGCAGGTAACGTTGTATTTTAATCGACCCAGAGCTGGTCGTATCATCGAATAAGTCAAAGGATAAGAGGGAATCTTAAAAGAATTAAGCCCCCACATGGGGTGAAACCATGTGGCACCACCTCATTGGCCTACGCCTCATAACTGTCTCTGACACACTCTGACAAAAGGTCGTACTATCGGGTAGCTGGGGCAGCCTTCTGGAAGCAGGTACCTCACCCGACGCATTATTTTACCTCATTACACTTGTTTAACTCTACATTTTTTCTAGAGTTCATCTTCTACATATACTCATTGAAGCATCGGAGGCTCTTCACCGGAAAACCCTTCCGGTGAGAGTTTTTGCAGGTCGAAGGCTTTCAACCGGCGAGGGAGCTCGCGAGCAAGCCGATTCCAGCAGATCGAGTATCTTTTCGTACCACTAGTGCTCTTAAAAAGGATCATAAATATATACTATATTTAAGTCTATTCCAAACCTAATTATTTTTGGATTGAGAGTAAATTAAAATTCATTCAAGCCAAATGACAAATCATGAAAATTTGCCACATAAGATCCTGAATCATGTGAGTCTGCCATATAGGCTCAGCACATCCGGAAAATGTATATAAAACTAAAAAGGCAAATAATATTAAAATCTGATATAAAAATTAAAATACAAATTACAAACCTGTAGTTGTAGGCTGGATCGAAATTAGTGTTGTTTATAGTAAACTACAATTAGGATGTTGATTATTGAACTCTTATTTAGAGAATAATCATTATACACTATAAAACCTATAATAAAATATATACAATTATATATTTATACATATAAAATAAATACAAAAATAAATATTAACTGCACATGTCCGACTATTTAACCATTAAATCGGTAGCTTAACCGATTCGATGATCTATTTGGTTTTCATAACCTTACTATATATATGTATATGTACATCTTGTAATATAACTCTTATGAATTATTATGATTATTTAAAGTGTTTTTTGAAAAGAAAAAAAAAATAATATGAGTGCAAAGTGATTGTAGATGTTTTCTTTCTAAACCTGGATTTGGTCAAGAGCCACAAATGGCGGGTCAATTGTAAGAATGAATGTCCACAAGTTTCTGACATCAACGTTGGAATATGTCCAAAAACCAATAGCCCATCCTCAAACATCTAAACTTCAGGAGAAACACAACATATTTTTCCACCACCAAAAAAGCCAAAAAATTCCACTCTACACTTTAACGGTACCAACAAACATATATATCCATTTTCTGCCTCCACGAAACCACAAAGCAAAAATAGGAAAGAGAGAGATGTTTTCTATTTGATTCTAATAAATTTGGAAAAATAAAATNGAAAAAAGATGTCACATATGAACTCTAAAAATTGCAACGTAGAAAACGTGGTGAGGAGGAGCAACAGCGGCGGCTCGTTCAAGTTCAACGTGGCAGCGCCAGAATTTGTGCCGACATTGGCTCCGGCACCGGCTCAGGCCCACGTGCCAATAACGGGCTTTTTTTATCCATGTTTTCAGCCCATTGATGGGCCCACTGGAAGTTGGATTTATGTGACGGATCAAGAAGTAACGATGCCGTTGGTCCAGCCCAAGCCCAATAATGATGAGAAAGTAGGCTCGCCCCAAAATAAACAACCACCACCTAAGGAAATTGCCATTTCTGAGGAGATTAAGCGCAAGATAATCAAACAGGTATTATACATATATAATTTATTTTTTATTTTTTTTTTCATGTTCAATTTTTAATTTTTCGTGTTTGAGTTTTGGAGACTTGAAATGTGTTAACAGGCGGAATACATGTTTAGTGACATGAGCATGCTAGCTAATGAAACTCTCGTGAAGCACGTTACCAAGGATCCGGAAGGCTATGGTAAAGACTTCGCAAAATTTAGTTGTTCTTCTTTATCCTTTTTTTCTTTTTTCTTTTTTTTTTTTAATAAATAAATTATCATCTTTTACATATAACAATGTGTTTTGATACTTTTATTAATATGCAATATTATTGATGAATTTAAAACAGTTCCAATGAATTTCGTCTCGACTCTAAAGAAGCTCAAATCCATGAACGTGAACAATCAGATGGTGGCGCAGGCCCTTCGTTCGTCTTCTAAATTGGTTAGTCATTTGATGACAATATAGCTTAATTATTTTTTTTTATTTTTTTTAAGGGGGATGATCACTTGTTTTGATTTGGGGTAACATTTTTGTATGTTTGCTCGAAAAATGTGTGTGTAGGTAGTAAGCAGTGACGGCAAGAAAGTGAAACGGAAGAGCCCCTTCACCGAGAAAGAGAAAGAGGAGTTACAGGTGTGACATAAATAAATAAATAAATATATATATATATATATATATATATATATTCACACTATACATATGATCAAGTAAATACAAATAATGACATTATAAATATGTTGCAAGTTTAATTGTTGACATGTTTTATGCAGATGAGGACAGTTATAGCCGAAAACCTACCGGACGACCACTCTCATCAGAAAATCGAGAAAATGTTTAATGTGGTCGGGAGGTGGGAATAACTAGAACAATATTTTGTATTGCTCATTAATTTTCGAAATCATAATTACATTGCATGAGTTAATTATACAAATTGTTTTTACTTTTTATTCAGCATCAAGTCTATCAGAATATGCCAGCCACAGGAACACAATGCTTCGCGGTCTAACAAGTCTGATGTAGTTGTCAGTCATAAGGTGGCTCAATTAATATGAAATGTGCACATAAATTTTTTGCACTATTTATATTTCCTTATATATTCCTTTATTTGATTTGCATGGTGTCCATATTTCTTATTGTAGCTCCATGCGCTGGTAGAGTATGAGACTGCTGAAACAGCTGAAAAAGCGGTGTGTTTTAATCAGATTTTTTTTTTTCATAAAAAATGTAACTGTAAGATGTGTGCCTTTATTGACATTTTTAATAAATATTTAAAAAAATTGATCTCGTTAGGCAGAGAAGTTAAACGATGAAGGAAACTGGAGGAAAGGCATGCGAGTGAGGCTTATGCTTAAGCGTTCGGTACGCGACATCATAACACTCGTTAATTTCACAAACGTACATTCATCAATCTTTTCTTCTTAGCTAACAATAACATAATTTGGCGTAATTAAGAGTAACCCTCAGCCTAAGACTGTGGTGAAGAGCCGAAAGCCCGAAAATTTCGATGCTTGTATAGACGACAATGGGTCGAGCCATCATTCACCAGAAGATACCTCTCGGTATAACACTTCAGAAACAGAGGTACTTTCACATATATATCATTTAAGTTCATATTTTTATCCATTTATAATTTTCCATCTAGCTATAATGCTTTTCCTTGTGTTACAAGTTCAATTAAATAATTTATTTGTTTTTGTATTATGCAGTCGGATGACAATTCAAAGAGAAGTTGGAGTAGAAACAGGGCCAAGTCCAAGCACCGTCCTCTTCAGGGGGCCCGAAGCCTGCCCACACCATCTTCACACTTAATGGGCTCGTGTCCGGGCCAGCAACCCAATAAGGGCCCAAGAATGCCTGATGGCACAAGAGGCTTCACAATGGGCAGGGGAAAGCCTCTCATTGTCCCTGTACTGTCCAGTTAAGGAGCTAAAGGCTATGGGGATATGTTCTATTTTATCATTACTCATATTATAAAGCTTTTACATGAGACGGAAACTACATTAAGGGACTGTTTGGCTTCTAGAATATTTGGAATTTTTTTATTTTGGAGTTGGTGGTTGATCGTTGTATAATTGAAGACGGTGAGTTGACTCGTTTGCTCAGAGGCTTTAGTACCACTTGGTGTTATTTTTGCTGTAAATTCCGTTGAATGACCTTTGATCGTTTGTTGACCAGCTAGGGAACTTAAGGCTATCAAGATTATTTGTTATGGTTGTATACATTTTTTTTTTCTTACTAAATATTACAATCTCCCTAATTTTATGGATTTATGTATCAACTTCAGTTCCATTTTTCTTCATCCTCTCTCTTTATTTTCTATTTTTCATTGTCTGTGTAAATGTTGTTAGATAACAAAGGTTCGGTCGCTTGACATGTTAAAGTGAAACAACCTGGTGATGATAGGTTACATCATGATTCAGAGATATTTTAATCACCCAAAGAGCACCTGGAAAAAAATTCAGAACATGTTTGGATACGAATCCCATGTGTGTAACTAAAATGGTAAGTAAAACTAAGGGTAAATATGTATCAAATGGTAGATTCCACTGAATTGAATCGATAAGAAGACAAATAAGATATTTTTCAAAAGGATTATTATTTTCAAATTTTTATTCTTTTTGAATTTTGAATCGTGTGCTTTTACTATTTCTACTTTCTTTTTTTCCTCTTCTTATCACTGTTCTATTTCTACATCTCTTTCTTCCTTCTCTTACAACCAGTTGACCAAATTTTTGGCTTCTCTAAATTTATTAGCAATAGGTGATGGGTAGTCTAGCTTTTCTCTCCTCCCAAAAGAAAAACCATATCTGAAAAATCCATCACCTCCCTGCTTCTCCCTGCGCAGCTCTGCTCAAGGGATGCCAACATCGGCACCTGAGCCATCCTTGTCCTTTGCTGCGAGCCCACGTTGGAGTTGTCACCTGCGCCTTTGTGTTGCAGGAGAGATTCTCACGGGCAAGGAGAAGGGGGTGGGTTGCTATTGTTTCAGTCAACCACTCTGACCGTGGATTTGTCAGCGTAGGCATTGAAATCGCTGTTCATTTCCTTATTGCGATCTTCGATCGACCATTTTGGATCCAACTGCGATGGTATTGGATCCCACCTTTCTCCTGGCGATGGTCGGCCTCAATTGATGGGATGGTATTAGTGGACCTCTCGTCCGTTGGTCATCAGCTGTTTGGTTCTCGAGTTTGAAGAGTACATCTGGCTTGTTGACTTTAGATCTGAATAACCATAGCCATAGCCATATGGAGTGTCGAATTTGGACCGCCCAGATTTGAGTTTCTTGCCTTGGCGATCTATTTTCTCTTTGTTTGATTATCCTGAAGGTCGATGCTTCTTAGTGTAGTGAGCCGAGTTGTGGGTTGCCGGGGAAGACTTTAGTTTAGTTTATAGTTATTTACCTTTTCTTGCTAGTCTCAAGTTTCTTTTTTATTTTGATGTTTGTTTGGTTGTTAGTCTCCCTTGGTGGTGTATTTTACTCTCCTTTATAGACTAGTTTAATATTCTTTATGGAGTTTTTGTCCCGACCGCTTGTTTGGGAGTTTGTTTTAGAGTTGATCTCTGTTGAGGGAGAGCTTTTATTCTAAAAAACACTCCCTCATGGTTCGTTTCTTTCTATCACTAGAAAGTTAAAATGTGATATGAGATATTATACTAGACCGATTTTAATGGAAAAGAAGGAATATATTGGAGAATAAGCCTACACATGGGCTAGGACATATGGCATAATAGAATTGGTCAAGCCCAACTTGGGCACTAAGGTACACCTCTCCCATGAAAGGGGCCTAAGGTATCCCAAAACCTCATTCTCTCTACATTGACTACTATACTCTCATATTGCACTCTTATCTTTGGCGAGTGTTGACTTAAGAATCCGAGGCTCGACGCCGGGACCCCTCCCGGCGTTGAATTCTTGAAGGTACGGAGGCCGTCCGAGTTGAAGGAGCCCGGGTGAAATCCATTTCATCTCCGTTGGCCGCCGCCACTGTCGTCGCCACCGGCCGTAACCTCCGCTGCAGGTCGCAGGCTAAAATGCTCCGATCGAAATTTTTTTTACTCGTCAACCGGTAGATCTCATCGAGGTGATTCTCCCCTTCAAATTTCATGCGAAAATTCCATCCGAAGGGCTTTCAATTTTGCCGGTCAAATATACCAGATCTAAAACATTTCAGTCCACAACTGACCTTTAAATCCATTTTCCGGCGATTAGTGAGGGCTCTAAAAAATCTAGGGATACCGCCGGAATCCTCTTGCTGAGATGAATCTACATCACATCACCTTCACCGACTGCCGCCGCCTTCGTCGCCAGCCAAAGTCCTCCGATCAGAAATCTTTTTGTATCATCTCGAAGCTCTTCTCGCGCTCGTCATCCTTCTAAATTTTCAAGCAAAAATTCCATCGGCAAGGCCGTCAATTTTGCCAATCAACGTTCCTAGATCTTGAAAAAATTTGGTCACCTCTGGTCATCTTCTCTAATTTTTTGGCGATTTCCAGAGATCCACTTCAAACCGAGGGCACCATCGAATTCTCGTACCCGAAGCGCACCGTCGACTGGTCACTTTGGTCGGAGACGGCGAGCTTTTGTCGCCGATATTTTTTCAGCGAAGCTGCAACCTCTGCTTTCCCAACGCGCGAGCTTTGGGCGTGAGTTCTAGCATCCGGTCGCGTACTAGTTCTCCCAGTGCGCGTGGAGGCCCGGTGCTCCCAATGGCCCATGTCCGTAGAAACGCGAGGCCCAGTGGGCGGCCCAGACCCGCGATCCACTGCGTGGAGGCCCACCGTGCGGCCCATCAAGGAGGCCCACACGAGCCCGCGTCTTTCCCAATACCCGAGCCACGTGAAGTCGGTCTTTTAGCCCGCGTCCAGCCGCACATCTGGCCTAGCTTCAGCCCGCGAGCGGAAACTTTTTCTAGCGTGCTTCAGCCGCTGTGCGCGCAGCCTGCACCCTTTAGTACTCGTTGGCCCAGCAAGACCTCAGCCCACGTCTACACTAGCGAGAAGGCCCAGGTCCTTGTTCCCATGGCCCAACATCTGTGATCCATAAAAGAAAAGAGGCCCAACAAGCAGCCCGGAGAGGAGGGGCAGTACGAGGCCCATTTCACATCCTCGCCAGCGTGGGGGCCGCGTCCAGCCCGCACGGCCCTCTCCCCTCACGATGTCTGGCCCGCGCAGCCCGCTCCCAGCTCGCGTGTGGCCCAGCCTCAGCCCGCTTCTCTCACAATTTTTGGCCCGTGCGAGCCCGCCCCTCGGCCCGCATCCCTTAGCACTTGTCATCAGGCACAACAAGCACGGCCCAACCAGCGTGTGCATGGCCCAACGAGCACAAAGCAGCCCAGAACATCCTCCAACGCGGCTCAGATTGTCCAGCAAGGGTCCAAGAGCTTACGGTGAACCCGCGGCGAGTCCAGAATGATACGAGGACAATGAAGTATTTTGAGATAACATTCTCATGATGAAGGTATGTGGTTAATTTAAATCATGGGTTCAAAGGATTTTAAATGGTAAAAATTGAAAAATTAATTGGTTTATTCGTTGTATTTGGAGAGGCGGATAATTTTTTACAAAGCATTAATTAAATAAGTTTGGTTGAAAATAAATGTGGATTGTAGTGTGAAATTGAGGATATTTCTTGATTGTGCTTATCGTGTGTTTGGAACGTTAATCACTTTTTATTGGTGGGCTCAAAGAAGTTGATTGAATTTAAATTAATGAGCTTGGTATCGGGAGAAATCCATTTGAATTTTCGTTTGGTGAGCAAGTTGTTTAAATTTAGGTGTTTTGCAAGCAATCGGGAGTGCGATTTAGTTTGATTTTTGTGATCTTGGTATGTGGTCAAAATTTTTGCATTGGATAAATGGTTGTTTGTATTTGCGAATTTGATTTGTTGTAATTTTTTGGTGAATTCATGATTCGGTGAAATTCTGGTCGAATGTGCCTTTGAGTGGGTGTTTGTTATGTGGTTATATCGTGGTAAAGAGGCTTGTTTGTAGATTGAGGTGTAGAATAAAAGTACGTGGACCAATTTGACTGCTTTGATTTATTCATCTCTTGTTCTTATTGCTATCGAAACTGTAAATTGGATGATGTGGATAAAATACGACTAATAGTATTTTTTGAATTCTTGCTGAGGAAAATCCGTAAGCATGGGAACCAAACAGTTATATAAACTCTTTGGCAAGGTAATTCGGTCCTCGATGAATGGTGTAGACGAATAAGGAGGATACGTTGGGTGATGCGGGTCACAGAAACCTACGTGCATGCCACTCATTGGTAATGTATTTTTTTAATATATTAACATCACCAATGTCGGTGGACATATTAACATGTGTCCACCGTGGGCATGGAAACATTTCCGCACCTTATAATTTTCCGATGATTTATTCTATTCCCAGCCTCCTTTATTACCCGCTCAACTCTCACGCAACAGTTCTTCCACACCTGTTAATGCTGAAGTATCATAAAATTCTTTTTATTCGTTTTTCATCGTAATGCCTCTCCGGAGACACTCGCAGCGAGCTCTCCACACTCGCAGCAACCTGCTCAGATCAGTAGTTTCAGCCAATTCTCCTCCTCCGCCGCCGCTTTCCCCATCTCCGCCGGACAACTTCCTCGTCGGCAAAGCCCTATCAATACTCAAGCTCTACCACCCGTCGCAGCTCGATCCTCTGATTTCCCAGTTTACTCCACTATCCGCCTCCTATCTCCTACTCCAGTGCCAGAACGACCAAACCCTAACCCTTAAATTTGTCAATTGGGCCCGCAAATTGCCCTTCTTCAGTAATCAGCTCGAGTGCCATTGCCTCTCGATTCACATCCTCACCCGATTCAAGCTCTACAAAGCAGCCCAATCCCTAGCGGAGGAAGCTGCTCTAATTTTTCCGGACGATGATAAGGGAGATTCGGTCTTTTCCTGCCTAAGAGACACTTACCAAGCGTGTGGCTCCAGCTCTGCCGTCTTTGATTTGGTAATAAAAGCTCTATCCAATTTGAAGCTTATAGATAGAGCTCTAAATATGATGAGATTAGCCAGAGACCATGGGTTCATGCCTAGTGTATTGTCCTATAATTCCATTCTAGAAGCAATAATTCGAAAATCGGCTCCTGGGCATGTTGAGTTTGCTTTGAATGTATATCAGGGCATGATAGATCATGGTGTTTCCCCGAACGTCTTCACGTACAATATTTTGATTAGAGGGTTGTGCGCAAACAAGGAAATGGGTAAAGGATTATGTTTCTTCAATGAAATGGAGAAAAAAGGCTGTCTGCCGAATGTGGTTACATATAACACATTGATAGATGCATATTGTAAAACGGGGAATATGGACGAAGCCTATGCGCTGTTGAAATTGATGTGGAAGAAGAAGTTGGAGCCAAATGTCATCACGTATAACGTGATTATCAATGGGTTGTGTCGAGAAGGGAGGATGAAGGAGACGACCAATATTTTTGAGGAGATGAAAGGAAAAGGTTTGGTTCCAGATGAAATTACGTATAATACCCTTATCAATGGTTACTGTAGAGAGGGAAATCTTCATCAAGCTCTTTTTCTACACGCGCATATGGTTAGAAATGGACTGTCACCCAATGTCGTGACTTATACGTCTTTGATAAATAGTATGTGTAAAGCGAGGAATTTAAACAGAGCCATGGAGTTTTTTAACCAGATGCAGGTCAGGGGACTGAGACCGAATGAGAAGACATATACAACTTTGATTGATGGCTTCTCTCAGCAGGGATTCATGGATGAGGCCTGCAGGCTTTTAAAAGAAATGATTAGTAAGGGCTTCTCACCCTCTATCATAACTTACAATGCATTAATCAATGGCCACTGTGTGTCGGGTAACATTGATGATGGTTTAGAATTAATTAAAACCATGACCGCAAAAGGGATTTCTCCTGATGTTGTGAGTTATAGTACAATCATTTCTGGGTTCTGTAGAAAATTTGATCTGGATAAGGCATTCCAGACGAAACAAGACATGACTGAGAAAGGTATTTTTCCGGATGCCATCACTTATTCATCTTTGATTCAAGGTCTGTGTGGACAGAGGAGATTGGCCGAGGCCTGTGAATTATTTAAAGAAATGTGGAGAGTAGGTTTGCCACCCGATAAATGTACATACACTTCTCTAATCAACGGTTATTGTTCCGAAGACGATATAGAGAGCGCAATTGGTCTCCACAACGAAATGATTAAACATGGCTTCTTTCCCGATGTTGTCACCTACAGTGTGTTGATAAATGGGATGAACAAGCGGGCCCGCAGTAAGGAAGCAAAACGACTTCTTTTCAAGTTGTACTTCGAGCAGTCTGTGCCACACGAAGTTACCTACGATTTGCTGATAGAAAGTTGTGGCAATAACGAACTAGCCCTCATGAAGGGATTCTGCATGAAAGGCTTGATGAAGGAGGCAGATGTTGTTTTTCAGGGTATGTGTAAGAAAAACAATGAGCCTGATGAGAAGGTTTACAATGTCCTAATACATGGGCACTGTAGAGGAGGAAATCTGAACAGAGCTATTGAGCTTTATAAGGAAATGGTGCATCGTGGGTTGGTTCCTCATGCGATGACTGTTATTGCTATAGCTAAAGAACTCCACAAAGTTGGGCTGACAGATGAACTCGGTCAGATTTTAAGGGAAACATTGAGAAAATGTAAAGTTATTGACGGTGACCGTGCCAAGGACCTTATAGAGGTGAATTTTAAAGAAGGGAATATGGATGCAGTTTTTAATGTTCTCAATGAGATGGCCAGAAATGGCCTTCTTCCGGATGAAGTGAGGACTGTTTAGGCTTGCGAATGAATTTGCCGAAGATGTCTGTTTAGGCATGTGAAAGAATTAGACCAAAGAATTGGTTTTAAGTGGATGCAATTAGCTGCTCATGTAAACCTGAACAGCTTTCTGGCATCAGCGGTTATTTTGTTTGTGTTATTGGTGCCGCGCTGGAAAACAATTCATTGCTGGAGTATGAATTATCCCCCCAAATTTTGTNGGAAGTTATGGCACTGGAAGCATACAAAAGTTTTGAATCAACAGGATGGTATTGGCAAATGCAAATGGGAAAATTGACTGTTTTGGTGCCCGCGAAATTAATGTAATTTGTTTCGCATCTTTCCTCTACCTTCTCTCCATGCTATTGATAGGATAAATTTGGGAGAGTTTTGTTAATAAAATGCGCGATTTCAATGAGATTTAAGTTGTTTTCTTGTCAACCTCCTTTCTGTTTTGTGGCATCGGCACTTTGTTATTGCATGGCGTGCACCCTGAATACGGGTATTGAATTTCTTACCTTAGAAATGATTTATTCCGATGCATAACGTTTGAAGATGGAATATACTTCTACATTTATTTGATATACTTTATGAGAGCTGAGATTCTTTTGTTTCATACTTCCGAAGATCGTTCTTATATTATGATGAAAAAAAAAAAAAAATCATCTCATCTCACAAATACCATCTATCTTCTCGGCTTATAAACTGAAACTAGAAAACTTGGAAGGATCACTTCTGGGGAGAATTCTAACGTTCCGTTCTCAATTCTAACGGAACCATTCCCCCAGCTCTCATCCAATGATTTTGTGCTACTTGGTGCAATGAGGGTGTACGTGCTTGTATTTTAAAATTTCTCCCAACTGTTGAAACTCAGTACAGTAGGTTACATCTATATATTTATTTTATTTGTTTTATCACTCAATTCGTTTTACTTGACATGCCATTTTATTTATTTATTTTGTCATTTTGGCATGAACATTCTTATATTTAAAAATAAGGTACTAATAATATATATAAATATAAATGTATGGAAAAAAATAAACAAAAACATAAATTGGAACACAAAACGCATAAAATTTGTATATGTAAAAATAAAATAAGATCTCTGATTAAAATAAATAAAAACATTATTATAATGTTTTGTTATATTTTAATTTATATTAATATATATATTAGCGATGCATTTAATAAAATTATCTTTAGTTTCCCTTTCTCTTAGCCATAATTGCACGATCAGTAAAAGAAAAAGTCATGAAGACGTGCGGAGAGGACCACCCAAGAAGGCCTTCATCCACTCCTCGCCTTGGTCGTCGCGTGAAGGTCTTACTAAGACGGATATTTTGGTTTATAATCGCTCCCCGTTCAGTTGTTAGCTCCAAGAGCATTTAAGCTAAGCAATTTCTTGGTGAAACTGCCTTCTGTGAGGACCGTGCTTCAAAGAAAGTCATTCTGGTTCATCTCCTTGTCTCTAACAATGTCACCCCGCATAGCTTACTACTTTGGACTTCCTCTTCGACGAAAATGGATTTCCAAACTTTTCGAAGCGAAGTGAAGTCACCCCACGGAGCTGAATGCATTAAGGTAGGGCCTTTCCTAGCCTAGCTTCAAGTCGTTACGCGAGAGGGCCCATGGGAGGATGTCGGCACTCTCTATTTCATTTCCGAGGTTCGATGTAATTGAGGTGATCTTAGTCCGTTGGTGGGACATGGGGAACCATCCAACGATAGAAAAATTTTATCATTATTATTGTAATGGAATTCCAACGGAAATTCCAACAAAAACATTCCGTTGGAATGAGTTTTCCATTGGAATTTCCGTTGGATTTTGGTGACTCTAACGGTAGATTTTCCAACGGAGGTGGAAATAAAAATTCCAACAGAAATTCCTACGGTAAAAAACCGTTAGAAAAATAGTTGCTGGAATCATCAAATTCCATTTAAAATTCCAATGGAAAACTCATTCCAACGCAGTATTTGCATTGGAATTTCTGGTGGAATTATTTCAACAGAAGCTATACCATTGAAATATCTGTTAAAATTTCCATTGGAATATATTATTACCGTAGGTTTTTTCCGTTAGAATATAACAATTTTCTTATAGTGACTGTAATAATATGCCTTGTACTATTATAGTATAATAGTTAATACTAATACCAACTAATAACAATCCACACTAAATAGAAATCACATAAGTATAAATAATTCTAATGTGATTTTTTTTTTCAGCTATATTTTTTAAAATAAATATTATCCTTTTTTT